GATTGGCCCAATCCGAAATACACACCGTAATGCAAATGAATAAGTCGACTTATACTCCCTCAAATATAGTTTTAATCTGATTCGTATGGATCCCTCAACCATAATATTAAATATCTTGACCATCTAACTATTAAAAATAATGCAATTTGACTCCCTTAACAGTTTCAAGAGCGTTTTTTACTGACTTAGCTTGTTGACTAGTCTAAGTGGTTGAGTCAATTTTATGCGGGACCCACATGTTAGTCTCCGTTCCTCTTCCTCCTCTCTTTTTCTATCTGCGGTGGCAACATGGAGAGGCCGATGGGAGGAAGGATGAATAGGGAATTGGTACCATATCTTCGGAAACGATGCTCGATCGATCGGTAATTGATCATATTTATCATTTAAATTAATCAGTGTCGACATTACTACTATGTAGAAAGAAATTAAAAAATAAAATTTATGTATAACAAAAAACGGCTTTGCTAAAATTATGTCGACATATTTCTGGGCTAAATACAGTCAGTTTGTCGATCTGCCATCTAATCTTCTCACTATTCGTGCAAGTACATCTGATAAGCTAATCGAACAACTTGCTCCTAAGTTGGCGACTCCTTTTTGCTTTGCATGACACGTGTTGGTCATCAACGAATGTAATTACTCTATTTACACAGTAATTACACATGTGTAATTTAGGGACTTACACATATAATTTTAGTATTTACATTGTAAATATTCTAAAATTACATATGTAATTTAGATACTTACATATGTAATTTCGAGACTTACATCGTAAATATACTAAAATTACATATGTAATTTAGGAAATTACAATGTAAATACATACTGACTATTTTTTGGTGAAAAATATGGCGCCATAAATATAGCTACTCCAAAAAAAAATAATGGTCGGAAACGGTACCCCTTATACGAAAACGATGCTCGCTCGATTTGAAATTTCCGTGACCCATTTTCACTCCTACCGGTGAGCTCTTGGATGACCACCACACTCCCTCCACCAACGAGTCGATAACGAGTTCGCTGTTACCACCGCCCTACAAGAGCATGATTTTTCCTGTCTCGTTGCCGCCACCACCGGCATGCTCATCGTGCGTCCCCGAGTCCCACCGCCTGCGCCAACTCGATGTCCTCCGCGGCGGCGGCGTCGTTGCACCCGTCATCATCGTCATGCCCGGCGACTCGGCCAGACACGAGGGGCGCCAGTGCGCCGCCCGTCGCAGCCATAGAATTCGAAGAAGCAGTCTGAAAACCGGCGTGGAGAGATCATTAGTTCAGCATCGTGGAATGCTAGAATTCAGTTTTGCAGTGCAGTAAGAATGCAAATGTGCTAGTACTACTAGAGTTTTCCACAGGGAGGGAGGCATTACTGTGCAAGCATATATATATATATATATATATATATATATATATATATATATGTATGTATGTATATATATATGTATGTGTGCTCCCACATCCACAAACAAAAAGTTCAGGATTCAGATCCAATAGCACTAGCAAATCCTAGTGACGAACGATTCGTGCTGCGGTTTGGGGGGGGGGGGGGGGAGGGGGGGGGGCAATGTAGATACCCTCGACACGGTTGAGGTCGGAGGGATCAATGGAGGCGGCCAACAACCGCACGCACACGTAGCCAACATCCGCACGAACAGTTGAGACTTAAGATTGGTTTGGAGTTTGGGGCATCGGTGTGAGCAAGCAAGCAAATACTCCCTCCATCCCAAAATAAGAGCACACATAAGTTTTCGTGCTCAATTTTGATCGTCCGTCTTATTTAATTTTTTTTAAAAAAAACTAAAAAAGCATAAGTCACGTATAAAGTACTATTCATGTTTTATAATTTTATAATAATAGATATACTAATATGTCAGAGGATGAACTCTGCTAGCGGGGGACTGCGCGGTCCCCCTTTGTTAGTTCGGCGGGGGGCAGCGGGTGAACATAGAGGAAACGGGAAAAAGGGAAAGAAACTCCCGAGGGGGTCAGCCCCTGGGATGAGAGAGATGCAAGAGATGACAGGTTCAGGCCGCTAAGGAACGTAACACCCTACTCCTGTATATGATGTTTTTTGGAGCTTACAAAGTTTCTGAATCTATGGTGGGAAGGCTCAAGCTCAGCCTCTCCTCAGAGTTTGTGATATCTAATCCCTTCCTCAGTAGGCCTAGATCTTCTTTTATACATCAAGAGGTTACCACATGTGCCTCAAGAGCTACCTAGAGAGGAAGAAAATATTCTCTGCATTAAATGCATGTCTCGTGTCTTAGCTCAGAAGCCATCCTCGCATCGGCTGTCGTAAGGGGCCCACCAAATCGTGTCGGCTGACACAGGGGATGCCCCCGTCAATGATCATTTAATGAACAAGGACTTGGGGGGCATGACTGCGCCGGATACACAAACCAGGGCACGTTCGGCGTGGCCACGCCGACTCCGGTTGCGGTGAGTGGCTCGAGGGAGCTCATCATCACGATGGGACAAGGCATACTTGCCGCACGCTGCCTGACACGCGGTAAGGGCGTGGGCGGGTTGTCACCGTCCCATCCGTCATTCGGCCTGCGACCGATCGATCGGTCGCAGGCCTATCAGGCGCGCACCACACCGCATTTAATGCGGTGTGGCGCGCGTTGACTTTGCCAGCATTGAAAGCGGTTAGGTGGGCGCTGGGTCGCGCCCACCTAACCTGGTCCTCGTGGTAGCCACGTGGGGCCCGTGGGGAGGGGTCGGGACAGCCCGTTTCCATCGGGCTTAGAGGAGGTGGCCACCACCTATTCACGGGCCCGACCCCCTTGGAGGGAGCGCCACGTGGATACTAGGGACAATCTCTTCCCTCTAAGCTTGGTATCACTGGGCCCATATCACCAACATAATCATAAAAAAAAATTCAAATAAGATGGACAATAAAAATTGGATACGGAAACTCATGGCTGCACTTATTTTGGAACGGAGGGAGTACAATACTACAATAGCATGAGGACTTGTCGAGCAGGCCATGGTGGTCTTAGAGCAAGTTTAATAGTATAGCCAACTATCAACTCCAAATCATCTATAGTCAATCTAATAGCCAATTCATATGATAGTTAACTACAAATATATACTACATCATTAATAATTAGTCCCACCTGTCATATACACACATTGTCTTGGAGTCTGTATTGCAGCTGGCTACAAATCTGTAGCCCGCTTCTCTTCTCTCTCCTCTCTTATCTCCTCCACGTGTGCTTATAGCTGACTTATAGTCTACTATTGTACCTGCTTTTAGAGGATGGCCCTAGCAGGTGGGGACATCGAGATGGATAGTTTCCTCGCTGTCGTCATCGAGGTTCCGCATATGCGCTTCGTCGTCATCGGCAGGAAGTGAGCTGCCCAAGCCATCACTCACCACTCCTCTTCATCGCAGGCTGCCCCTTGTCATCGCTCAACCCGTGCGCCTCCGCCTCGTCGTCGTTCAACTTGGGGTTGTTGCCAGGGTTTTGAAATTTCGGTTCGAAATTTTCGAAATTTCAGTAATTTCGCCCCCCACCGGTATGCTCAAATATCGCCCGAAATTTTTGGGTTTTTTTTGCAATTTTTTGTGAATTTGTCAAATTTTATTCAAATTCATTCAAATTTTCAACTAATTTCGGCCAGAAATTTCTGAAATTTCGGTCACCGCCAGCATAAAGTCCAATTTCAAAATTAAAAACCCTGGTTGTTGCGGAGACAGCCTTCGTCGCTAAGGAAGATGCAAGGGATAAAAGTAGGGGTGGGCGTTCGGTCTACCCGAAAATTTCGGTCTCGGTCTTCGGTTTTTCAGTCAATTCGGTTTTTAAAAAGTCAGGACCGAATTTCATCCCAAAAAAATCAAGACCGGTCTCAGTTTTTTCGGTCTCGGTCTCGGTCAGATCGAATTTAGAGGAGCCGAGCCGGAGGGCGGAGACGACGCTGGCGATGTCGAGGCGGAGGGCGGAGGTGGCGGCGCGGTGTGATGGATCCGGCGGCCGGCGGCCTGCGCGACCGGCGAGGCGGCATGGAGGCGGAGGGCGGAGACGACACCGGCGATGTGGAGGCGGAGGGTGGAGGTGGCGGTGCAGCCCGATGGATCTGGCAGCCGGCGGCCCACGCGACCGGCGAGGCGGCGTGGAGGCAGAGGGCGGAGGTGGCGGCGCGGCGCGGCGCGATAGATCTAGCGGCCGGCGGCCCGCGCGACCGGCAAGGCAGCGTGAAGGCGGACACGGCGCCGGCGATGTGGAGGGCGGAGGGCGGAGGTGGTGGCGCGGCGTGATGAATCCGGTGGCCCGCCGCGACCGGCGAGGCGGCGTGGAGGCGGAGGGCGGAGACGGCGCCGACGATGTGGAGGCGGCGGCGTGGCGCGGCGCGATGGAGGCGGCAACGGCAGCGCGGCACGATGGAGGCAGAGGAGGCGTGCTCACGCGGGATGGAAGGGAGGGCGGTGCGATAGGGATGGGGATGGAAGGGAGGGCGACGCGATGGCTGGATGGATAGGGATGCAGCCTGCGGGTTGTCTCTAGGGTTTAGTGGTGTATTGGGCCTATTGGGCCTCCTGGACCTATTGGGCCACAATTCGGTTTTCTCGGTTAATTCGGTTAACTGAGCCCAAGAACCGAATTACCTGAACAAATTTCGGTCTTTGACATGCTGAGACCGAATTACTACCCGAATTTCTCGGTCTCGGTCTTTTCGGTTTCGGTCTCGGTCTTTTCGGTTCGGTTCTTCGGTTCGGTCTTATTTTGCCCACCCCTAGATAAAAGAGAGGGAGAGAAGGGGACGCTGACATGTAAACCCCATCTGCTGAGTGAGCTGATAGAACTAGGTCAATAAGCTACGTTATTACTCCGATTCAAATAAAGTACTACTTCCTCCGTCCCAGAATATAGCAACCTAAGATCGAATGGGACGTATCCCCCTATCTAGATTCGTAGTACTAGGATATGTCCAATCCGGTCCTAGGTTGCTATATTCTGGGACGGAGGGAGTAGCCTACTAGGCATACCATGATAACTGAACAACACCCTCAAACCGATTTTACATAATATCATAATAAACCACGTTTGTTGAGAAGAAATGGAATTGAACTACTATAATGCATCCTAACAGCAAGGAAAAAAATTAAAGGTAATTAAAAGCATAATAATAGTAGTAGTAGTTGTTTCAGGAGACCACGTTCAGGCGTTCAGCACCACAAGGCACCACACGAAACATGCCATCGTCACCACCGCGACCGCGACCCCCCGTGGCTTTGGCTGCGCGGTAGCCGATGACGTCGGATTGGACGGCAGATCGGATGACTGGGACGGCGGCGGATCGGACGTCTGGAACCCGAGCCTCGACTTGTGGAGGTCGTAGATCATGTACGTGCCCGTCTGGATCATGCTGCCGATGAGCGACAACCCATCGCTGTCGTCCGGCGACGGCGGTATCGTCAGGCACTCCAGCCCGGTATCCTCGTCCTGGTAGAGGTAGTTCCACTGCTGCAGCTTCATCACCGCGTTTCCCCCGAAGACGAACGCTATGTCGGGGATCTTCGCCCTGTCCATGTGCTGGCTTCTGTAGCACAGGTCAAGCCCAAGCGCGGAGCCATCCTCCGTGTTGTTGGAACCCAGCGCGCTCACCAGCTCCTTCTTCAGGAGGCCGTAGGCGTTCTTCTCGAGGTAAGTCACTGGCACGGAGGTGCTCAGGACCGCCTCCAGGGATCCCCCCGCCGAGCCGCCGCCGCCGCCCCCGAGCTGCAGGTCCTTGCCGCCAACGCGTATGCCGGTGAGCTCGACGAAGTACAGGTCGAGGTTCGCGCTACGGACTGCGCCGGTGGTGAAGAACGGCGTGTAGCGGGGACGACTGCCGCCGCTGTTCCCTGGCACGGTGATGCCGTCGTCGTCGCCGAAGACGATGAAGTCGTCTGCTGCGTTGTTGTCCGTGGTGTTCACCTCGGGTGCGAAGTAGTAGGAGAACCGCCCGAGGTTGAGCTGCGAGACGAGGGAGAGATTCCCCTTGTTGAGGCCGAGCACGCCGGACGCGCCGAAGTCCCCCTCCGTTGAGGAGCTGCACCCGAAGGTGACGACGCCCTTTACGGCGGTGTCTTCGCTGTCGTCGCCGAACGTGAAGTTTTGGACGGCGAGGTTGCCGGTCGTCTCCCTTCCGTCGTCACCCCCGTACCCGTACGTGTAGGTGTACTCGCACAGATCGCCCGTCGTGTTGCAGGTCGGCTTGATGATACGCTGGCAGGTATCACTCTCGCATTTGTACAGCTCCTCGGGCCGCGCGTCGTAGACCGTCACGCCGGGCATGTTGTTGTTCGTGCCGCAGGAGGAGTTGCCGGTGGCGCAGCACGGCACCCACACGAACTCACTGGTGACGTCGAGCGCGCCGGAGAAGTCCTGCTGCGAGCCGACGGCGAAGGCGACGCTGTAGGTCACGGCGGTGGTGGCCGGGGCGTGGCGGGCACGCCTCGGCGTCGGCGGGCTCGGGGCATTGCTGCTGCCGTGATCTGCGCCGTCGCGCCCTGGCTGCTGCTGGGGCTGCCGGTGGGGAGGAGGCCGACCACGTCTTTCGCGTGGTTCTTGAAGAAGTCCCGCAACGCTTTTCCTGTCTTTGGGCTTACCAAGAACCGTGGGATCTTTCCGGCGGAGGCCATTCCCGGCATGACGACGAGGACGAGGAAGGCGATGGCGACGGCGGGGGCTCGGCCGGCCATTGAAGGCAACCCGATCGACCTCTTGTGGCAAATCGAAGAGAGAGCTACAATGTTCTCTGATAGATTACTTATGGTAAACAAGAGTAATTATTCTGTGTGGAATGTGCGTGATTACAACACTGGACGTACTGCTATTTATAGCCTTTAAATGGATCGGAGCTGGCTGGCAAATTTGATCGACCGAGTCAAAACATTACTTGGAGTTGGTTCATATATACTAAAACAATCACATTTTCCACTCGTTTTCAAGTCCAATGCACACTCTCCCGTGCTTTCTCTACTCTCTCTTTCACATAACACTTCCCCTAAAATTTCTGTGTTTCAAAAGACATCACTTCTATTGTTAGGGAGCGTTGGTTCTGGTGAGTTAGGGTGAGAAAACACATCGTAGTCCGTGCGCACGCTTCCCAAACTACTAAACGGTGCGTTTTTGAAATTTACTTTAAAAAATCATATTAATCTATTTTTGAAATTTAAAATAGTTTATGCTCAATTAATCATGCGCTAATGACTCATCTCATTTTGTGTATCTTCCCAATCTTCTCAATCTCCTATCCCTCAAACTCACCCTTACTCTGCTTGAAATTTTGTAGCATTGTATAGCATATGACTAAGCCTGCTAATGGACTGGATTGGAATGGGTTAAATGGATTGGTTTTGTATTTGGGTTTGCTTTGGTTGGATTGAAATGGGCACACGCTATAAATGGGTTGGATCGATTTGGATCCACCGGAAAAGAGGATTGGGGCGGTTTGGTGATGGTTATGATTTTTTGAGTATAATGTGGATTCAGTCCATGGATTGAACCCATGGATTGTGAATGGTTTCCACTAAGAAGGCTAGATCAGGTCTCAGTCGTGGACAACACACTCCAGCGGTCGATGAGACGATGCATGTTCCCTGGTCGATTAACAAGCTGCATCACGGCCGCCTCCTCCTCCGCTCGCGCTGGCTCCGGCACCGATTCCGCTGCCGGCGGCCTCTTCACATCCGCGGAGGACGGCAACGGCGACACCACGGCTTTGACTGAACAACCGCGTCCACCTGCCTCTCTACCTCCTTCTGCCTCGCCGCCTCCGCCGGAAAGGGAGGCGGCGGCGGCGATGGCAGCGGCTTCTGCCTCGCCGCCCTGGGCGCCGTCGCCGGCGAGGGGGAGGACGAAGGCGGCCGTTGCCCCTGCAGCAGCTGCTGCTGTTGTAGCAGCAGCATCTGCTGGCGGCGGACGTGAGATGGGCTGTAGAGCCGGTCGCTCAACATGTAGCCTCCACGGGACGACGACGACGACGCCAAGGTGGCGCCAGACGGGTGGACCATGGCGGCGGCGCCAGAACAAGCTGCATCGCGGCCACCGCGTGCTCGGCTTGACAGACGGCGAGGTCGACACAAACATGTCGTCGACGCTATGAACGCCGGCTTGCTGCTGCCGTTCAGGCTGTGCGTGACGAAATGCATGTTCTGGTTGATGGTGAATCAAATGGGTTTGTGGTCGGGGGTGGATTCTAAATGGTCTGAAATGGTTTGACAGGGTGGACTGAATCCATAGGAAGGGAATGGGTTAGTGCGGTGTGGACTGAGGTGAGAAATGGATTGGATTGGTTTGGATTCTGAAAGGAGATTTGCGGGTTGGGTTGGTTTGAACTATTTGAGCTAACTGCTGTGGTGTGGATTGGGAATGGGGCGGGTCTTAGGCCATTAGCAGGCTTACATATGACAATCAACTCCTACGTTTCTTCTATTTCTCTATGTTTTTAAAATCCTGCATTCCAAGGATATCTTTCTCATCCTATTCCTATTGCATAGCATGTGGAGTTTTGTTTGTTATTTTTATTACAATCTGTACAAGTTAAATTTTAACCTGCATGTTTATAGAGTGATATATTATATATTGATCTATCTTTTTAATTTTTTTTCATAACTATATAGATAACATACAACAAATAGGTGGACGTCCACCCGAGTGATCAAAACGGTTTCCCCATAGCATGGGAGATGGATTCTAATCACTCGGGTTAACGTCCACCCGTTTATTGTATGTCAACTATATGGTTATAAAAAAATTAAAAAAATTAATAAGATAGATCAATATATAATACATCACTCCGCAAACATACATGACAATCTTTTCTATTACAACACTTATGTTACCTGTTTGTCGTCTTAGGCTCTTTGTAGCTTGCTGTCGGGAAAAAGAAAGATGAACATGTAGACCGTGAAGCTTCAGTTATGATTGTTTTTTTTTTCCATTACACAAAGAAGGCACATACATGCATCTCCTAAAACTGTAACCCTATACTAACTAAAAACCCGTCATCGTCAGACTATATGCCTAAACTAAACGTGTTGAACATTATGCATTTAACTCTTTTCTAATTAATTGGCACGTACGCAGTTATACTACGCAACACTACCAAACTACTTTTGGTTGTTAACAACACGAAATCTATAAATAAATTTTACTACTATATACATATAGATATGGGTTTTGCTTATCAACGGAAAGAAATGTTTCCTTATCTATATAGTACATTAATTTACTCAGTATACACACACACACAAAGATTTACTTATGACCAATATTTCTTAGTAATAAAATGTACTAAGAATAGCGCATTGGTCATATAAAATATTCCCTCCATCCTAAAATATTTGACACCGATGACTTTTTAAAAAATATTTTACCGTTCGTCTTATTTAAAAAATTTAAGTAATTATTAATTCTTTTTTTATCATTTGATTTATCGTTAAATATACTTTTATGTATACATATAGTTTTATACATTTCACAAAAGTTTTTGAATAAGACGAATGGTTAAACATCTTTTAAAAAGTTAACGGCGTCAAACGTTTAGGGAAGTAGGGAGTAATTAGAATGGGTGATGCTTCGAACCCAGATCGTTTAGCCCACCGCTACCTTGTGAAGCTAGTCGTAAGATCCCTGAGCGTTTCTATCAGCACAGCACATTGACCATATAGCTTAATTTGGTCTACGTTAATAGGGAAGACTTAAGTCGTTGACCACACAGCTTCGGGCAAGGTGCATGGTAAAATATGGTATCATGACAACTCTCCTCGATCTGTTGTCTAAAATAACAGTGAAGATTCCTACCAGATGGAGTTCTCTTTTCGCTCGATCGATACATATTGATCTCGAGTTGCTTCTGACTTCCAGTGATCCAGATTAGTTGGCTCACAGAAGGACGACCGGGTCCAGTAAATTTTCTGATGCCCATCAAGGGCGATGAACTACTAAACTGTGTGGTCAACGACTTAAGTCTTCCCTACTTAATACTCCCTCCGTTTCAAAATATTTGACACCGTTGATTTTTTAGTACGTGTTTGACCATTCATCTTATTAAAAATTTTAAGAACTTATTTATTCTTTTCATATCATTTGATTCATTGTTAAATATATTTTCATGTACACATATAGTTTTACATATTTCATAATTTTTTTAATAAGACGAACAGTCAAACATTTGCTAAAAAGTCAACGGTGTCAAACATTTTGAAACGGAGGGAGTACTAAACTGTGTGCCCATCACTCTTCGACCGGCTCCAGTAAATCCCAAGACGAACACTTGCAATTAGAAGAGTGATGAAGTAGAGAGGGGATACTTGATCAAGTAGCTACAGCTAGTCAGCTAGTGGTAAGTAAGGCACTAAGGCTGAAACATTCAAATCAAAGGAAATGCTTAATTTATATGAAACTTGTCTTTCTCGTTTAACCTCAGATCAACTCAGTAGAAGATAGTATATTGTTCTCGGTAAGTCGGCAATTGCAAGTGTTCGTCTTGGGATTGTATCTTTCGTTTATGCATGCATAAAAGAAGAAGAGCATTGGTTAATTAGGTTCATGCATCGTGTCTGAAAACTAATTGGTGAGGATGCACGCGTTCAAAAGATGATCAAATTGTTCTCGGCAACATAAACTGTAATTCGATTGCTCGCTGACCATGTCGATCGTAGCTTTGACAATCCAAGTTAATAGCTAGGGAAGAATTAATTAACGGATTTGCTGAAAAAGTGTCGCCACATTACGTGGCTGAGTACAGTCGGATTTTAACGGCTGGGATGCGCTGCGCTGGACATCGTGTGCACGATGCACATCCGTTCCTCCACCTGTTTATCCCTTTGCATTTTTTTTATTTTATTTGTTGATCCGGAATTGCTATGGGTTTGTAGTAGTCAACTTTCTTGTTGTAATTATATATTTATACAAATTTACATACTAGTTACACCCCACTTACACATTACTTACATATGTAATTAATATGTAATTTTAGGATTTACATATATGTCGACTGGGGATACCCGTAGACCGGATATAGAGGGTATTGGGGTACACTGGTACGAGGATCTACGTAATATGACATCAAGCAAATAGAAAACATGAATTATACTGGTTCAGGCCCCTTGGTAGGTAATAGCCCTAATCTAGTTGATATGGGATTATATGATGGAAATCAGAGATTATAAAGGGAACAGTGGAACTCGATGATACCGACGAGACCGTAGTCGAGTCGACTAGATCACCCGGCGACTTGGCTCCTGTAGGCTCCGGCTTCGTAGGCTATGGTGGTTGTCTCGGATGTGAGATTCGATGCCTTAGGTCCTCCCGGGGGGGGTCCCTTTTATACCGCAGGTCAGGTGGTTTCCAAGTAGGACTCGGAGACATCGGACCCTACATGATACAGTTACGACCCAGTCCTATCCGGGTAGGAATCTTTTCATCTATGGACTCCGTGATGAATTTCCTTAGCGCATACAAAGAACGTCCGTATACGCGCAGATATACCACACCGATGTATAGCATATATCCAAGGGTAGAGGGTATACCTTATCCGTAACCCTGACAGTAGCCCCCGACTTCTACTTAAATGAACTCATGTAACCGATCGCGACTTCTGATGTTGGGTTTGTTGTCGTTCTCGTCTAGTCGATCTCGGCGTAAGGACCGTAGAGACAAAGAGTAATCGACAACGCTATGAAAAGTTCAACGGTCGTGAGTGAATTTAAATTGAAGTCCAAAAACTGCCGCGCGTAACGGACCCAGAAATTTTCGGCGGGCATCTCTCCTCTTTCCTTGG